TTGTTATTATTGTTATCATCGCACTCATTATCGTTATCATAATTTTTATAGTTCTTGATTATAGCATGGCATAACAACCATCCTCCAATCTTTATAATGAAAATATTCTAGTCTGGAACCTAGATTTTATATCGAAAAAATATTAAGAATACTTTGTCCCTTGAGTTGTCCCCGATCAAGTAAATGAATAAAGATGAAAGATCATGAACTTCATTAAGACATTATATAGCATAAACTCTGCGGTACCAACTTGCCATGTTTCATTTACAAGACCACTGCTACAGCGTGAGTCGTTATATCTTAGTATAACCGATATCATAAAATCAGTAGTTGTTATAGCACAAACACATTGGTATATAGAATCATTTTCATTATCGCTAACACCATATATCATTATTATTATTGTTATCATTTTATCATTATTTCTATTAACATCATTATCATTACTATTATTATTATTATTGCCATCATTCTTATTACTGTTATTACTGTTATCATTATTATTATTATTACTTTCATTATTAATTTATTAGTATTATTAAGATTTTTTTCATTATCGCTATCATCATGTATTATTATCATTATTATACTTATCATTATTCCTTTTATTATCATTATCATCACAGCACTTTTATTGTCATTATGATTGCTATCATTATTGTTGTTTTTGTCATTTTTGTAGTTGTAGTTGTTTTCTTTTGTTGTCTTAGTCATCATTGTTATTGTTATCATTATTGTTATCATTATTATCATTATCGTTATTATTATTATTATTGCCATCATCATCATCATCATCATCATTACAGTTATATTATTATCACTGTTATAACTATTATTGTCCCTTTTGTTATCATCATTATCATTGTTCTAGATTTCATCATTATGATTGTAATGGTCATTATCATTAATACTACCATTATTGTTTATATCATCATTAATCGTATAGTTATTATCAGTATTGTCATTATTACTTTTATCATTATTATCAGTGTCACTACCATAACCATTACTGTTATCACTATCACTAGTATCACTGTTAATTTTGTTATTATTTTCATCATTATTACCATTATTTTTATTGTTATCATTGTCATTACTATAACAATTATTATTATTATTGACATCAATGTTATCATACTTTTTAGTATCATTGTTATTATTTTCATTATAAGATCATTATCATTATTATCATTTTTATTTTTATTATCATTATTATCATCATCATCGTTATTACTATTTCTATTACCATTGCTATTGTTATGATTGATGTTGTCATAATCATCATCATTGTGATTATTGTTATTCCACAGCATTATCATCATTATGATTACTACTGTATATTATCATTATTATTATTATTACTATCATTACTGTTATCATTTCCGCTTTTTATAAACACGATCGTTTTCGCTATCATTAGTATATTTCTCTATTGATAATATCATTATCATTATCATCATAGCTTTTCTTATTACAATCATTGTCATTATCACTCCCATGATGATAGTAATAACGATGATAATGATGATGATGATGATGATGATGATGATGATGATGATGATGATGATGATGATGATGATGATGATGATTGTATTATCTTATCATTTTTACCAGTACAAGCTTTTTCTTTGCAGGATTATTATTGTCATTTTTATCATTATCATTATTATCATTAATTATTTACCAGTACTACTAGTAGTAATATTGCTGCTGCTAACATTATCAATGTTATAATCATCATTATTATCATCATCGTTTTTCCTATCATTATCATTATCATATTTATTACTCTTTGGTATCATCATCGGCATTATCATATTTTTTCTTGCCATTATAGATTTTGTCATTGGTTGAAGATGTTGTAGCTATCGTTATCATCTTTATCATTGTCATTGCTACTACTACCATTATCACCATTATCTTTATCATCATCATCATCATCATCATCATATCACTTTTATTATAATCATTTAATATCATAATTATCATCATTATGAATAGTTATGAATCACTATTATCTCTCTTATCATTTCACTATCACGACTATCACCAATATTCTCATTCTCATTCTCATTCTCATTCTCATCATCATTAATTCTATTATAGTTGAGATCTCGACACTACATCACTATTACTGTCAATATTGTCTTTGCTATCGTGCTTGTTTTGCTATTACCTCTGCCAAAGGAGGAGTTTATGTGAGGGCCTGCATCTATTGGTTTATTGGGTCTCTGTCTTTTCAGGGAAAGTTACCAACTGAGTGTAATGAAAGTTACTTGTGTGTTGCCCATGGTTCAGTGACTAGTTGATTAGCATTGGGAAAGCAGTTCTGTGGAATAGGGGTAATTATGATATTGCTAATAAGAATTATGAGGACAATAATAATAACAATAATGATAATAATAATAATAATGATAATAATAATGATAATAATAATAACAATAATAACAACAACAATGATAATAGCAATAATAGTAAAAATAAAAATATTGATAATAATAATAATAATAATCATGATAATGGTAATAACGATAATGATAACAGTAATAATAATAATGATAATAATAGTAGTAATAATAACGATATTACAAATAATGATGATAATATTTTCCTAATAATAATAGCAATACCAGTGTTGATAATGATTGAAATGATAATACTAACAATAACAAGAATGACAAGAATGGTAATCATAATAATAATAGTAATAATGATTAGAAGAAAAATGATAATGACATTAACAATATTGATAATGATGATAGTTATGATAAAGATAATAATGATGATGATATCAGTTATGATAAAGATAATAATAATTATGATGATAATAATGATAATGATATAGATGACAGTAATAATGATAATGATCATAATAATCATTAAAAAGGTTACTACTAGTATTATCATTAGTAGTAGGGGTAGTAGTAGTATTAGAAATAACAATAGTCGTAATAGTAATGATAGTACGTTCTAATATATCACTACAACAGATTTCAGATTAATGCAATGGCAGGCAGGACCCTTCGGCAGTTTCAATCATATTTGCAATACCAGATCAGAGATAAGGCAGTCCAGCTACTCGAAATTGAGGAATTATGAGAAATTATTATTTTTGGATTTGTATTACATGCTGTTGATGATATACTACTGTACAAGACGATAAGTTTTGGAAGAGACACCTAACTTGTTATCTATCTATTTAACTCTCAGTCTATTTATTTATTTATCTGTCTGTCTGTCGGTCTGTCTCTCTATCCATTTTTCTATCTATCTACTCCTATCTCTCTTTCGGTTCTCTCTTAGAAATATTAATGTAAGCTTCCCCAAAGCAATAATCAGTATGAGTGTAATCATTTCTTAATGAGAGCAGATAACAGCACTTTTCTTCTCCTCTTGAGAGTTAAACTAGAAACTCTCAATTTGGAAGTCCATTCGCCATTCTTTAGCGATAAGAAACTCCCATCTATATTTCTTTTCCTCTGGGTGGTATTTTAGGCTCCTATGAGTGATTCCCTTTAATGTAGAAACACTGTTTTTTTTCTTCTTCTTCTTCTTTTCTTTCTTTTTTCTTCTTTTTCTTCTTTCTTTTTCTTCTTTCTTCTTCTTTTTTCTTCTTCTCTACTACTACTACTACTACTACTACTACTACTACTACTTATTTATTTGGCCAGAAAGTGGTT